TGACCGCAATTAAAACGATTCTCACGTTTGAATATGGGAATGACCACCCCCTGCTTCCAGTTCTTAGAGTTTTCCAACCTCTGCCAGACGCTGTCGAAAAGCAGATGAATCCGGTTCAGTGAGATTTCGCTTAGAGATTTCGGAATTTCCGCACTAACCCTGCCCTGCCAGCAGGATTTTCAACTTCGACAGAGGTATGGAATCTGGATTTCATCTTTCGATGGAACAGAACAGTCAATTTTTGTTCTTCCCGGTCTTCGAACTCTATTTCCAGGTGATTCACTGAAGCCGGCCGGTTTAAGAGCTCTTCGAGGTCTTCAGTTCATCTTTTCCGACGGTTGTCTGAATCTCCAAGTGGCTCATAGGTCATGCGACGAATCAGACAATTTAAGGGCTTATGTTTGTCGCCATTGATGCTCATGTTGACTTGTCTATATAGCGTCCTCGAATCCTTATTGATAGTTGTCTGTTCCAGGTTCTGCGCTTCGAGTTCCATCCGACATCGCCTGTCACAGTGGTAACTCTCGTTGACTTCTTTCTTGAGATGCTGATACTCTCGCTTCTTCGTCTCTTCAGGGTTTTGTAAGAATTCCGCTTCACCGTCTTTCTCCTTTGGCGTAGAGTGAGGGTTTCTGCCGAGACCTACAGGTGTTCCGTCGTTTATCTTAGGCCGAGTATATTTGCTGCGGCACAGACAACGCCGTGTTGGAGCTGTTGGTACGGTAACCCTGGGTCCTTACCGCTTATGTTCTTTACAGCGTCGAATCTGCCGTTGATCTCCTCTGATAACACCGCACAAATTTCTGGATCTCAAAACTTGCTGACGTCGAATCCGTCGTTCTCCCCATTCCGTACTGTTCTCCGGGAAGTGGACAGTTGAAGGTGGAGCCTTGTATCCAATGGTCTGAGCCAGTGTCAGGGTTTCCGCGTCGTGACGAGCTGTCGTGAAGGACGCTTCGTCACTTCCTGCTGAACAATACGTGGTTCAGCCAGCTCCTGAAACGGTCACTTGACACTTTCCACGTCAACTGATGGATTTGACAATGGGAAACAACGTGCCGTCGACGACAAGGTCGTGCATGGAACAGAGGTCTCACAATGCTGACAGTTGTCATTCAGGGTCCCTTAGCTAAGTTGGCCCATCACATGATGAGGTTTGAAATTTTCCTCATAATCCGGCGACGATCGATAATTGATGGATGGTATGGACGAGAACCGAGAAGTGCATGTAAGCTCGTGTATAACTCGTCCTTCCCTTGATTGTCGGCTACATTGGTGGAGACGTACACTACAGTAGCGCTGACCTTCACGTACTTTGTTGCAAGACGGCAAGCAATCAACCGATGGGCCGTATAGTCAATGGAGACCAAAGCTTTGATCAGCGCCACTCCTGACTCGTATCTGGAATCCCAGTTCCAGGACCAACGAAGCTGCCATCCGTTTCCCAGGCTGTTTATTCCCTGGTCGGAAATGTGATTTCCTGAGATCGCAAGGAGGTCGACGAGATACCACTCAGCTGTACGGATGACGTCATATAACCTGTCGTCTTCGTTTAACTTTCGAACGTTCCAGCATGTGATACAGATCTTCTCTTTGCTGATTTTGATCGGCTGGAGGTCAGATTCACTGCTGATAAACGTTCAGATCTGTGGACGTACACAACTCATCGCACTGGCGTCACATCACGGGTCGTGTAGCGAAAGCGTTACCTGACCCCTCGCGGCAGCATACAGTCTGAGAATGCGCGCGCTGACGTATTGACATTGCACAGTCATCACAATGGAATTGGAATATGATATTCACTAGTTTGACAATAACATCATACCTCATTCACCCAGATGGGATTAATTACGTAATTAATTAAGGTGACCACTGTCCAGTTACACAGATTCATAGTGGTGACCGCAGGACCGATCACCGACGAAAATCAACGGTCTGTGCCAAAGCGTTCCATCTCGTCAACGCATTTGCTAGAAGATACCGAACATCGCACCGTATAAGACAATATTCCTCTCCGAGAGCAGATCTGCCTTAACTTTGTTCCTCCATGGTGCATGCTGGCCTACTAACCGCTGCTTGCCATATTTGGACTCCTACATGAGAAGCTCACGAGATGGAGAAAACGACTTACACTCAGCTAGTTTCTCTAACAGGAACAACCTCCTTATCTTAACCTGCACATCTACTGACTTCATCTCTACCCATTCAGTACCCTGACAGAGCACGGTACAGGCGGATGTCTGTAAAAGGTCTTATTCCTTTCTCAGCGCAAATACTGGTCAGGTTTTTAAAGGTACCGGAAGCTAAACGCGATGTTCGTGTTTAACTCTGATTAGATGGAGTCGGCACATTCCAGTAAGATAAAGACTGCTGCCGCGATTATTATTGTCAAGAGAATCAATGGAGATGAAGATTATTGGTCAATTTTCTGTAGGGTTTCATCTCGGTATTCCGCTTGTAGATCAGCTCAGATATTCTGTCATTTTTTATACAGCGTAAATATCAAAATACTTTTATATGCCGGAGTATGAAAAACAGCTAACACCAGATTTCTGGCTGCGTTGCACTGTCCTTAGCTCGAAGTTACCTGGAGTGCCGATTTCAGCAGGGCATTACTCCGTGGTATTTGAACACCTATAGTGCCAGATGCGTGCTGACACAAAACAGCAAAACAGCGGCGTTAAAGCGTCATAGAATTCTCAGGACAAGTTTGCAGCCGAGTGCGACATAACCGATATACGTGTCAACGTCTCTAAAACTAATAGCCTAATGTCTTTTCATTCTCCTCTCCGTTGTGACTTGTAGCTGAATGGATGCGCGGTGGAGCAGGCGAAGAAATTCATGAACCTCGGGGTCATTTTACGGGTGGCAAGAAATGAGTGATTCAGATCGACCGATGAAGTGGAACAGCCGGGGGTGTTCTGCGTGAATCAACCGAACAAGTGTGACTGAGGAAGGGCTGAGTCTGAAGACTAAGCTGTCTGTATTCAACCAGATCTTTATGATTATGTTCACCTACGATCTGAAGTTGTGGACCATGGCTGAAAATGTTCGATTCCGGGTACAGGGGGCTGAAAAGAGCTTTTGAGTCGAGTCGTTGCCATTACGTTTCTCGACATGGTCCAAAGCACAAATTTCTGAAATGGCCTCAACCCCTGCTTCTCCATGCTGAGGCGTGACAGATACGACGGTTTGGGCAAGTCTTGCGAATACTTCCAGAAAGAAATGCGAAACAGATACTGAAAGTTCATCGACCGGTTGAAGTGCCAGGGGATGGTCATAAGTAGCCTTGGGCAAGTATAACTGGGTATTCTGCTTCACAATCGATCTGTTTTCTGCCCAAGCTTATACGCTAGCACAGGATCGGGAACATTAGAGACACTGTCTGAAGTGTCTGCCTCCGTCAACCGAAAGGATAGGCAGTCATTGACGCTGACTGACTTACTATGATTCATTCGGGGCTTTTCAGCTCGCATTCTTCAATCAAGAGGAATTAATAGCACCCGATATTTAGCTCCATCAATAAGCAACGTGCACAAATCAGAAAAGTCGATACCGATCGGTAGATATTCGAGTGAGACTTGCTCGGTTCTGTAATAAATATCTGTTTACGATTAATAGTAATTTTGGCCATATGTTACGAATGCCTGCAGAAAGGAAGGCAAAGTAACTATTCCTTTCAACTCCGACCGGCAGATGGCCCAGGGGACGGCCAAAATTAACCTGGTGCAAACATATGGAAGGAATCTGTTCCAGACTGCATTTGTC